GCATAGGTAATGTTGTATACGAGGTTAGAAGCCTTATTCTGGACTTAGTGATCACTTCCATGATTCATTTAGTTAATCATTATGTCTTTATACTCAAGTGGGAGAATGTTGGAATATGAGTATAAAAACATGATTGTGGATTAGCTATTATATTGAATGAATTTTGAATGGAAAAGTCTTGATAAAGTGTTTGTGTAAATCCTATTTCTTGTAGGATTATGAGTGGTTTTAGTGTTCCTTTGGGAAAAGGTTTTGGATCCTTCTCGGATTGATCTTGTGCACTCATTGTGCGAAAGGGTTTCTGTTTTAGAGTCCAACACTAATTCTAATAGGAGAATGTGTTGGATTAATGCTGTATATAACCACAATCACTGCTCTTGCAAAGATACGGCTCATATTGTGTTGAATACCTATTGTTCAAAGAGCTCTCTAGTTTTGCTAAAGAGGAGAAGATTGTCTGGTGGTGAAGCTGCTATGGCTTCTTCGAGTTCAAGTTCTGCAGGTATGTTTTGATTGGTTTAATGCTGAGATTTATGGTTATGTTGTTCACATTGTTTGTTGGTAGTATTGGTGATTTATTGGCATATCTATGATCTGGCATGTTATTCTTACAGAAAACCCTTGGTTCGATTCATCACAAGAACATTGTTAGGTTCTCGGGTTGCTGTTGGAATGCAACACTAGAATGCTAATGTATGAGTACATGCTGAATGGTAGCTTGGGCGGTTTACTTCACAAAAGAAGACGTAACAACTTGGAATGAGAATTGAGATATCGGATTGTGTTGGGAGCTGCACAAGGCTTGGCTTACTTGCACCATGGTTGCGTTTCTCCGATTGTTCACAGGGACATCAAGGCCAATAACGTCCTCATTGGTCCGGACTTTGAGCCCTGCATTGCTGATTTCGGGCTTGCCAAGCTCGTTGATGAAGGAGATTTTGCTTGATCGTCCAACACAGTAGTTGGTTCCCCCTAACCCCCTCGGCGCGCCCAAAACTTAAAAACAACTGTGACTTCACTTTACCCCGTCATCATTTGGTGTCTCGTGTTTCCCCATTCTGTCAACTTGGTGTGGAAAATTATTAACTTTGACAAATCAAAAATCAAATGCCCTTATGCCACATCAGCTAAGTTAACAATTTTCTTAACCAATTTGACGAAATTGGGATACATGATGAAGATGACAGAGAAAAGTGATGTGTACAGCTACGGCGTAGTTGTGCTAGAAGTGCTAACAGGGAAGCAACCGATCGATCTAACCATACCAGACGGGGCCGGCCCTAAGGGTAGCCAGAGTAGGCGCCCGTCTAGGGCCCCCACTTCGGAAGGCCCCCCAATTTTTAGACGGAGCTAGGCAGGTCTAGACTGGGATGGGCGCTATGCGGGCTTATATAAACGCCGGAATCTAGAAATCTTTTGTTGCAAGGTCGGCCTCGTGTGAAGAAGAAGACAACCCTATTCATAACATCATTTTAATTGCACGATTTTACTTTAGACGATCCCACTATCTTTTTTTTATAGATGCACGTCTTCTCCTCTTTAAATAGTCTCCACCATCTTATTTTTACTTTTTGGCTTCTCTCTTAAATATCACCTTTATGTTTATTTTTATGGGGTTTTATTACCTTATTTTAAGATCACACCACATATATCTTTATTATGTACTTAAAAGGCTAAAACTCACCTTTTTGAAAAATGACATTATTTAATGTTCAAATTAATTAGTTTATATAATATATAATAAATTATTCAAATCCGCCTCGTCCGCCTATGCGCGTATATGAAAATTACTATCATCTTCACTCTAGTATTTTCCCTAGCTGTAAGTAACATTGTAACAATAAAAAAATGATTGGAATTTGGCGTACTGGGTAGGGACTTCCCTTTCGGTTTGAATTGGTTGAAAAATTAGATTATGTAAACCTAATAAGTGCATTTGCATCTAAAAACGCAAGACGAGTAATATTTGAGTAATGTTTATATATCTTTCTTTTTTCAATATTAATTTTTTAAAGATATTTGATGTAGAAATAGACTTTTTATGTATTTAGTTTTTTTTTTTTACACATGTCAATGTACAAATGGTTAAGAGTCAGAGAACTCTAGGGCCCCATTTTGAAGACTCGCCTAGGACCCCCAAATTCTCAGGGCCGGCTCTGGACGTAGCGGCAATGCTCAAAGAAATAAGGCAGGAGAGATTGAGGAGTGCATGAAAGTTAACATGCTCCGAAACAGCTCTTCCGAAAACGGTGGACAAGAAAATAACATCACCAGCAGCAACGGAGGAAGCTCATTGGCTATGGCGGTGCAACAACATCCGTACTATTCGAGTACTAGCACAAGTTTCTCAGCGTTCTCATTGCTATACACTTCTCCTCCTGATGTTAACAAAAGTTCTAAATAATTACTCTTCAAATAAGAAGTTATTTCAGACTTTAGCTTGGAAATTTGTCTTCTGCTTAAGTTTTGGTACAAAGCTCAGGTTTCCTCTGGTGTAAAAGCGAGAAATTTTAATCATCAGAAGTAGCAAAAAGTTTACTTTTTAGTTTTTTTTAGAGTGATATCTTGGTTGCATGTGTAATTTCAGCTAGCATGGAACCATTTAGAATAGGGTAAATTATATTTTACCCCCTCAGGTTTGGGGTCGATTGCAATCTTATACGATATCTTTAAAATTTTTCAATTTCATACATTTACTTATCATTTTATTTCAATTTCATACATCCATTAGAAAATCTGTTAAGTGATGATGTGGCAAATATGAGATCCACATTTGTGCTGACGTGGCTGCCAAATTTGTGTCACATGGCAAAAATATTTTTTTATGTATTTAAAATAAATAATTTACCCTATTATAAAAAAATAAAAATAAAAAAACCCTAATCCCTGACCCGTTCCCCTTCCCCACAACCCAAATCCCCCATCCCAACCCACCCCACCTCCCCCGCAATCCCCCACCCCACCCCACCTGAGTGATCCTTAGATCTGGACCTCGACAACCTTAGGTCAACGGCCCAAATGCGCCGAACAATCCAGAAACCTCCGAATCCAATGATGGCCTTCTCGCCGAGCTCGAGTCCCTCCGCCAGTCACACTAGGCCCTACTATCGAAGTCGGTGGCGATGGAGGAAGATTGTATTCTTATCCAGCAGCAAAGGGACGACGCCTTGGCTCGCAACGCCAAGCTAACCAAAGTTGTCGGATAAATTTCCGACGAGAGAGAGTCACTTTGCGATGAAATTCAGAGGCTCAAAGGTTATCTAAGAGAAAGGCAATATGGGGTGGGGTGGGGTGGGGTGGGTTGCGGGGGAGGTGGGGGTGGGGTGGGATGATGGGGTTTGGGTTGCGGGGAAGATGGGTTTTAGGGTTTTTTTTTTTAACTTTTTTTAATAATAGGGTAAATTATTATATTTTAAATGCAAAAAAAATTATTTTTTTGCCACGTGACACAAATTTGGCAGACACGTCAGCACAAATATGGATCTCATATTTGCCACATCATCACTTAATGGATTTTCTAACATATGTATGAAATTGAAATAAAATGATAAGTAAATGTATGAAAGGCAATATGGGGTGGGGTGGGTTGCGGGGGAGGTGGGGGTGGGGTGGGATGAGGGGGTTTGGGTTGCGGGGAAGATGGGTTTTAGGGTTTTTTTTAACTTTTGTTTTTATAATAGGGTAAATTATTATATTTTAAATGCAAAAAAAAAAAAAAAATTGCCACATGGCACAAATTTGGCAGACACGTCAGCACAAATATGGATCCTATATTTGCCACATCATCACTTAACGGATTTTTTAACAGATGTATTAAATTGAAATAAAATGATAAGTAAATCTATGAAATTGAAATGTTTTAAAAATGTTGTATGAGGTTGCACTCGATCCCAAACCTAAGGGGGTAAAATATAATTTACCCTTTAGAATATTGTGAAAAGTGAAACCAACCTGTCACCAAAGGTTATAGATACTCAACTAATTGCATTTTTAATCGCCTAGAATGTGTGATTATCCCGATTTCTAACTTTCTGTCTGTTTACTAACGCATACGAAATCAAAAAAATATGTGAGTCTCGATATTTTATGTTACGATGGGTAATTCAATACCTTAAAAAACAAGGACTTAATTCATTAGACGGAGTAGTTGGTCTTGTATATATTAGTTCTCATCATTATTATTGACTTCAACAATTTATCATATTCTCTGGTTCTAAATAAATATACATGTTCTAAGTAAATAAACATGTCATGCCGATGAGAAAATTATTAATGTTATTTATGTCATATTAAATTACCTGAGTATTTTCGTAGCCATAGCCCACAAGAACGTCATCGAGAAGCTATCATTTCATCCCCGAAATTGTGAGGAGTGTGTTCCTCCATAATCGATGTGTTTGCTGCAAGCTTGCCCAGAAATTGGGGGGACAGACAGGTTAGGGTCAAACGACGTCATAATACAGGTCGTTTGGGTTTGGGATCACGTAATGTCACCTAAGAGCTGGATCCAGGTCGGTCCAAATACAGAATGGGAATGGGAGTGTGGATTTGACAATGGGGAATGTAATTGATTTGGGATACCAAAGAAGACCATGAATTACGGAACTTTTTGCCAAGAACAATATAAAGAAGTTTTGAAATTATATTCATTTGAATACATTATAATTTACACATATCACAAATTAACCCTACAAAATTTGGTTTTCGATCTTTTAATTTATTTTTAATTTAATTATTTTTTCCGTATAAATTCTAAATGTTATGACATAATCTAAAATAGAAATGTTAGAAACCTTCTCATGTACACTCAGTGGCGAAGCCAGGAATTGACGGGGGTAGGGGCGAAGTTAAAAGAGTGCAAGGTTCAAAAGAATAGCAACAACCAAATCATTTTATATAGTAATGTCTTCCATAATTTATCAATATAAACAAATTACAATTGTTGCTATCACTTAACCATTGATCTCCCATTTTGTTACGCAATTGTGTTTTCACAATCTTCATAGCAGAAAAACTCTCTCCACCAAAGCGGTTGCAACTGGTAACACCAAAGCCAATGTAAGAAGCTTATACACTAATATGTAGCTTGCACACCTCCCGGTCTTCACCAACTCCTTTGCAAGATCACCAATTCCTCTCAATGATGAAAACTCACTATGCATTTTCATATCGTGAATGTAATTATCAAGTTGAATTGGAAGATTCATGAGGTCCATACGATCAAAATCTTGAGGATAAAGTTGAGCTAGACGAACAATTTTTGCTTTGTCAAAAGATGCAAAATTATTCACCGGAATCAAACATGCCATACAAAGAAGCAACTCGGTGTTTACCTCATCGAAGCGATCATTCAATTGCTTTAATTGTGTATCAAGGACTTGAAAATAGAGGTCCACACAATAGTAATGGAAGTTTGTGAGTCTTGGAGCTTTACGCCTTGATTTTCCAGCTACAAAATGCAAATCCTCCATGTTAGGAACGACAATATCATGCTCTTGACAAAACTTTTGTACATCATCAAGTAAGTCCCTAAAGTCATCATCTCTCAAGGATTGTAGTCTTTGCTTGCATACTTCCACTAACGCCATTGCATTCACAATATCTTGATCTTTATTTTGTAATGCTTGTGATAACTCATTTGTAACTCCCAATATGAGTCTCATAAAAAAAAAAGGTGAAACACAAAATCAAAAATTTGTATGTTATGGAATAACTGACTTGTTTCACCAAAATTGTCTTGGTTTGTATCATCTTTAATCCATTCAAGCACCTCCACCACGGCTTTAAACATGACAATAATACTAACTATAGTACCATAATGTGAGTTCCAACGTATATCACAAGGACACATGAGACTACTCTCTTGATTTAACCCTCTACCCGTTTCAAGATCACCAATATCAAGAGCTTTCTTAATTTGTTCTTGTTGTTTCTCTCTAAATGCATCACAACACTTACACGATGATCCAATGGTATTAACCAAAATACTAGCATTGTTGAAGAAAATGGCAACACCCTCAGTTCCCTTTGTAACGGCTACAAGAGCTAGTTGAAGTTGGTGTGCAAAACAATGAACATAAAATGCTTGAGGATACTTGTTCAAAATCTTTGTTTTAAGGCCATTTAGCTCACCTTTCATATTACTAGCTCCATCATAGCCTTGTCCCCGTAACTTGGACATACTCAAATTTGTTATAGCAAAGAATCTCAATAGCCTCTTCAAGCGAGCTACTAGTTGTAGAGGAGACATGTTGCACACCAAAAAACTTTTCAATTGCTTCTCCTTTTTGTTCACATAATGCAATACCATCGCCATTTGCTCTTTAGTTGAAGAATCACGTGATCCATCAACCAAAAGAGAAAAAAATTCACCTTCCATATCTTTAGTGATTGCATTTATAGTTTCAATGGCACAAGCACGGACAAGATCATTTTGAATATCAGAAGAAGTATACTTAAGATTCTTGGGAGCATTCTCAAACACAACCTTCCTAACTTGCTCATTATGCTTGGAAAGAAATTGCATAAGCTCCAAATAATTACCCCTATTGCTTGATTTCAATGATTCATCGTGACCACGAAAAGGCAAACCTTGTTCCAACAACCATCTTGTGCACTTAAGTGAAGCACTAAATAAAGTATTATAATTATTGCGAGCTTCATCGGTTTGCTTAATCACAAATGTTTCAATGTGTTGTTTTTGTGTCATCAAATCTCTAACTTGTTGTACAGCTTTATTATGAAGACTTCCAACACCTCTCTCATGGGCTCGGAGATTTTTGGGTCCTTTCCTCCAATTTGTAAACCCTTTCTCAGTGAAGACATCACTTCTAGTGCTACCCATTTGATCGAAATCACATTTGAAAAGATAGCAATAACGACAAAATGCAGCATCTTTTGATATACTATACTCCAACCACTTAAACCTATCAAACCAATCGATGATAAAACATCTTTTGTTGCTAACTTTTCTTGGCATAATGTGGTCTCTAGGCTGACAAGGATCATTTTGGAGATAGTGTTTACGAATTGCTTCACGATAATTAGGTGGATAATCAAGCATTCGACGTCTATATCCAGGGTCTGCATGAAGATTAGCCAATATTTCATCCAACTCAGTGGGCTCACTTTGTTGTGAACTACTCGGAATATTCGAAGGAGGACTTCTTGGAATATTTGAAGGAGGAGAAGGATGACTACTTGAAATATTTGAAGGAGAAGGACTACCCAAAATGTTTGAAGGAGGATTTAAGCATTGTTTCTTATAGTATCGTTCCATTACGTAACTGTAAAATGGAAAGAAAAATTTTTCTTAGACTCTTAATCCTAGAGTAGACTATACTAATATGCATAATAACCCAACCAACAATTCAATTAATCAATACCAATAAGCATATAAATTATTCATTAAATAAAAAATTCATTCAACTAATCATATGAATACAACTAATCAAAAATTCAAATTTTAATTTTCATCCTAAAAAATAATTTCATAATTTCATGTCAATCAATAATCATAGAATCATATAAATAATCAATAACCAATAACCATATTAGTGCATTACCATATGATTCGATACTAATTAAACAAAATTTGTATTAAATAATTAATTAGGGTTAGGGATTATAAATTTAGGAATTAAAAAATTTACCTTTGAAATTAAAGGCTAGAAGTCAGCTTAGCGGCTGGAGTGGCTGGTGTTAGCAGCAAAAAGCCAACAGAAATCAACCAATGGGGAATTATTTTCCGTTCCGTTGGGGTTGGGTGTTGGGTGTTGGCTGCAAGCTCAGGTTGCTGGGATTTTGGGAGTAGCTTTGCACTCTCTCTGTCTCTGATTAGTGAAGGGAGAAATTTGGAATGGTAAAGCACGACACGCGGGCTGACTGAGTGAAGGAATGGGGGACACGCCACGCGGTCCCCCCAATACATATATATTTTTTTTGTTTTTTTCAAACATTGAAACAAACATAAGACATGGAAGGGCATGACTTTGGGACACGTGGGCCAGACTTTAAATTTTTTATTTTTATTTTTTTACCAGGACCAAAAATACATCGTTTTGGCTTGGATTTAAAAAGAAAAAAAAAACCCAGTCTACTACTGCACGCAACAGAACCAGTTCATCGGTGCCAAAACAGACATGGAGGGGCTGGGTTTTCCGGTGAGGGGAGGGGTGAAACCTCAGCTTCAGTTGTGTTTTCGGCGAAGGGAGGGGCAATCGCCACTCCTCGTCCTCACGTGGCTTCGCCACTGTGTACACCCTCATTTCAACATTTTTTTACTTCTTGCTTCTCTTCTGTTTAACCTTCTCACGTTTTTAGATGGGATGGACATTTTTACTATCAATAAGAGTAGTTAGATCGTTAGAAGAAAAAAAAGTACACAATAATTTTGGGTAAATTCCATTTTACCCCCTCAAGTATGAGGTCAATTGCGACCTCATACAACATGTTTAAAACATTTCAAATTACCGTTAAGTGTGATGACGTGGCAAATGTAGGGTTCACATTTGTGCTAACACGGATGCCAACTTTGCACCATGTGAATAAAAAAATAATAATAAAGTATTATTTAATAAAAAATATTTTTTTTATAATTAAAAACTTAAAATTTTGAAAAGAGGATCTGGGCAGCTTGGTGAAGGAATTTTTTTTTTACCGTCGTCCCCAATAACCTAGTCCTCTATATCAGTTCACACTTATATACGCTTCCAATCACCACCACCAGAACCCACGATCTCACAACTCACTCATAGCTGGGTCCGTTCTGTCACTCCCAAGTTTGATCTCGATACGACTCAGTAGGGCAAGAGGCAGATCTAGCAACAAGGCTCCACCCGGTTCAGCCCCAACACCTTGATTTCGTCCAACGAGGTGGATGTGGACAACCCTATTCCTTGATGCTCTCGTGCTAGAGCTCTGTGCGATTCATGGTCGATGAGGTCACGAAAGGCTCGCCACGACAGTGATTGATGGTGATGCTAAACGAGGAGGGATCGTTGTCAGTGCAAGAAGTTATAGCAGTGCAAAAGGCTGCCATGACAACATTGTCTGTGACGGAAAAAGTCGACGAAGAGGGAGAAGAAACGGGAAATAACGTGTCGTCAGTAGAGATGGGTTCAGCGTTGGGGATGGTAAAGCCGATAAGGATGTCGTTGATGGACTTGTTGGAGACAAACAAGCAAATAAGGATGGAGTCGAATCAAGGAGGAGGCGGCGACAGAAGAAGCTGATTCTTGGTTGCAGACAAGCACATAGGAAATGGGATAAAGTCGAGGTGTTAAATCCCACCCCCAAATTTATTTGTAATTTTATAATTTCCCAAAGTTTTATTTTAAAATTTCATTTTGGTCACCTAGCTTGACTAAATCTGGACCCTTTATCTAGATTCCTAAACCCCCTTAAACTGCCACGTGGCAGCACCCTAACAAACCTCATTTCTCTCTCTCTCTTTGTCACCCTTTCCCCCGTGACTCCTTATTCTTCTTCTTTCTGTTTCTGCTTCTCTCCCTTCTCTCTTTCTTCTTTCCCTCTTTCACCAAGACACATACACACAACCAATTGCTTACCTGCATGAGGAAGACAATCATCATCACCATCAAAACCTTATCTTTCTCTCTTTTCATCTCGTCTTTGCAAGATCGGTGAACCTAAGAACCTCCGACGAGCTTCTTCATTTTCTCCGGTTAGGTAAGCTTCGGGTTTATCTATTTTCATTCTAGTTGAAGCTTGGGTGTGATTTATTAAATGTTATACTCGTGATTTCCAAGGTTTTGGAACGAGACCGGCCAGGTGGAAAACACACCAAATTCCGACGAAACCATGGGTGTCGAGGAGCTTTCCGTTCACCTCTGGCCATTTCACGGCTAATAGAAGGTATAAATCTCTTCCCCTTATCCCACTCTTCAATTTGATACCTAGAACGGAGTCTAGGGTCGTGGTTTGCAGTCGGCCGGAGCTGGGAAGGCTCCGACGTTCTTCTCCATTATTTCCGGCGACACCATGCCATTTTAGGCCACCCACTGGCCTTAGCCCACACTTGAACCATCCCAGTTCTCCTTTTTGGTTATTTGGCTTGCGGGCCATACCTTGTTTGGGCTCAGTGAGTGTGTGTGTGTGTGTGTTGGGCCGTGCGTGTGTGTGTTGGGCTGTGCGTGTGTGTGTTATTGTGTCTGTGTGTGTCTGTGCATGTGTGTGTTGTGTATGTGTGTCCATGCGTGTGTGTGTGGTGTGTGTGTGTGTAAGCGTGTGTGAGTGTGTATGGTGCACATGTGTGTGGTGCACGTGTGTGTGTGTGTGTTGTGTGTGTGTCCGTGCATGTGTGCTGTGCACGCATGTGTGTGTGTGTTGGTGTATGTTATGTGTTGTGTGGGTTTGGGCTCAAGCCCAAACCACCCTTTTTGTCCCTAAACCTATCCCAACCCAAAACCCATTTTCTTTTATTTAATTTGTTTGAAATCAAATAGGGCCCCCTGGGCCATTTTCTGATAAGGGCTTTAAGCCCAATCTTTAAACCCTTGGGGTTTTGGACCTAAGCCCTAATCCGGATCCAAGTTCAAAACCTGTTGACCTAGTCTGACTTAATTAACTGACCCGTTGACTTTGACTTTCGGGTTGACTTTTAGTTTTCGTTCGAGACCCCTCATAGGCTAATTTTGACGTCCTGAATCCGTTTCCGATGTTCGTTTTCCCAAATTAAATCGTTTGAGTAGAGTTTGACTAAATATACCATTTTTATGTTTAGGGGCAATTATTGTGACTTTTGCATATTCGCTAATTGCGCGGCTTTTCGATGGAGAAGTACTATGAGTGGACCCCTTCTAAAATTACATGATTTTATAGTTCAATTGCATAAATGAATAGCATGCCTTACGAGTTTATGTTTTTGATTTTATGTTAAGCATGTTTATTGAATATGTTGATTTTCGTCTCGTGTTTTTTGTGAGGAATTAATTGTCGGCCTATATTGAGCTATATTTTAATATATAGTATTTTCTATAAAAACCATGAACTAGTAGACTATCTGATGGATGACGATAGGATGCTAGAACATGTTTTTGAAACCCCTCTTTATAGTATAGACGATGGATGACTTTATACTATGAAGTGGTTATTTTTTAGAGGCGTAATTATTTGTGCGTACCTAGTAGACACTGTGCCGCCTGGGGCGAGGATCTGGTGTTGGCAGTTAGGCCGAGAGAAATAATCCCTAGCTACAGGTTGAGGGACATGGAGCAGGCATTGGGCCAGGAGTTGGTAATCTTTGGCTACGGGCGTAGAGACCACGATGCTGGCATAGGGCCGAGAGTTATAATATTATTCAATGATCTTACTGGCAGCACACCGCGCTTACGAGACTATACACACGATGATTTATATGATGTTTTTATGCGTTATACCTGTTGAGATGTTTTATGGCATGCTAGAGTTTCAGAAAACCTATAACTTATTATGCTAGTAGTTTTCATTATTTATAAACCTGGGGGTTAGTATGTTCATAACTGTTTTCGTATTATGTATATATATATGAACTTAGTCCACTCACCCTTGTTTTGCGCCCCCTTTCAGGATTTAGAATCGAGGCATACGATCCCGACGTCAACACTTTCGCATTGGCTTATTCGAGTCTTCTCGGTGTAGAACCCACATCCTTTTATTTATTCAATTTTATATTAATTCTTTTAGTACTCTAGTTAGTTATATGCTCTGAATACGTTCCTAAATTATTAATTCATTGTATTTTAAATTCATAACCCTTATTTACTTCTTATTCTTAGCTTTTGTATCAATTAATGGCTTTCGTCACCCTCGGGTGTTGGCCAGCACGTGTCTATCCTGGTATTTAGGGAATATCAGGGTCGGGGCGTGTCACGAGGAAGAGATGGGGTTATTATGGCAAGCTTTGCCTAGATCCTCTTTTCAATTTTTTTTTTAGTTTTTAATTATAATCTAAATTGATTTTTTTATTAACTAATCATTTTTTCATTATTTTTAATTCATAGGGTGCAAAGTTGGCATCCATGTCAGCACAAATGTGGACCCTATATTTGCCACGTCATCACTTAACGGTTAATTTAACAGATTTTTTAAAGTATGTATGAAACTGAAAAGAAATATAACTAAATGTATGAAATTGAAATGTTTTAAATATGTTGTATGAAGTTGCAATTGACCCTATACTTGAGGGGGTAAAATGTAATTTACCCAATAATTTATTTTGCTTTCTCATGTTAAAGGAAATGATTTTCCATAGTGGATGGAAAGCTTAGTTTTTTTCTCTTTTTAGCATGGGCCTAAAATGAAAAGGGCTTAAACTAAGTTTATTTTAACCAAAATTCATGCTATAACTTTATTTAATGAAAAAAAATTAAATATTAATGAAAACCCCTTAAATTTTAATAAAATGACAAAAGAACTTAAATTTTAATGAAAAAAATTATATTATATATATAGCCTGACACGCTGGACCTACCCTTCCATCACAAACACTGTTTATGAAATTGAACACTATTTATGAAACTGAACAGTACTACACTATTAATGAAACTGAACGGTACTACACTATTAATTGGTTCACTTTCATAAATAGTGCATAGTTCTTGGTCATGTTTCATAAATAGTGCTTAGTTACTGGGTCTAGTTTCATTAATATTGCAGTGCCTAGTTGTCATGTTTCCATAAATAGTGTCTAATTTTTGGTCCAGTTTCATAAATAGTGTATAGTCTAGTTTCATAAATAGTTTCCACCTATTGGTTTAGTTTTAGAAATAATGCCTAATTATTGGTTTCATTTGATAAATAATGTCTACTTATTGGTATAGTTTCATAAATAATGTTTACTTATTGGTCCAGTTTTATAAATAATGTCTATTTATTGGTCAAATTTTATAAATAGTGTCTCAGTCTTGGTTCAGTTTCACAAAGTTTGAAACTTAGATCTTGTTTGGTCCTGTAAAAGCACCAATTGCGCCAAAACGATGAGCCCATAAATGATCCTTTAAATCAAAACCTTGAGAAGATTATGTTCTCAATAATTATACTTAAAAAGTCATTTTCAATTACCATATTAAAATTCCCTCACATTTTTTACATACCTACAATAATTAAACGTAGCTCAATCCAATATCTTGAGCTTGGGTATCATCTTGGAGAAATTTTTCTTGTGCCCATAACACAAATAGTACACCATGTGTTATTATGTAAGTAGTGGGAAATTTTATTTTTCATGTTATTTAATTTTTAACACAAAAATCTTACAATTTATATAAAGACACCTGTAGTACGTGTTATTACTAACACCACCACCATTAACACCCTTGTCAACACCACCTCCAACTGCAACCACTAGCACTACACCACCGCTAATATCACACGGTCAACGACACCACCATTACCACCCTTGTCGCCACCACCTCCAATTGCAACCACTAGCGTTGCACCATCGCTAACATCACATGGCCAACGATGTCGCGGCCACCACCTCCACCACCACCACTACCGCCATATCACCACCACTTCCGCTGCCACCACCAGTGCTTGTACACCCCAACCATCACACCTTACTGTTGGCGCCACCTTCATTGTCTCTCCCATCACCACCAATGTTGTTGCCATCTCTGTTGTCACCACTACTCCCACTACCATGCCCATCACCAACAACATTTGCCAATTAAATAAGAAAATATCCATCCTTTTTAATTTATACCTTATATCTTTATTTTGGCCATCACCAACAACGTTTGCCATTTAAATAAGAAAATATTCTTCCTTTTTAATTTATACCTTATACCTTATTCTATACCTTAGACCTTAATTATTATAAGTGAGGAAATGAGTATGCTCTCGATGAAAGAACACAAAGCAGCATCCATCCTTGTAACTTTTACTTTCAAAAATAGAAACTGTTATTAACACTCTAAAAATCTAAATGTGTAACTTTCTATATTTAAAAAAAAAATAACGAGAAGTTCACAATTAAAATTTTAAAATGCCAAAAATAGTTCCCTGATACTAGTTCCCTAACGTATGATAGAAACCAATTCCATATGAATAATCAAAATAATGACCATATACCCTTTCTTGTCCTTCTAAAAGAACAATTACCTTTTACATAAGTCGATCCATCTATCGAGTGCAATGCTAATATGATCAAATAGCACACCACTTACAACAACATACAGCAAACAGCAATGCAAACATGTTTTTAATAGTACATAAATGATCCTTTAACTTCTACAAAATACATGTCAATAATTGACAAGCACAACAAACACTATAAACTTAATTGGGGTGCTATATTATACCCGATTTATCACCCCCAAAACATATAATATCACATAATAATACACCTCCCTAATTAACCAAAACAATATTTTGAAACAGCCTATACATTGTAACTGATCAGACCATGTTATCCAGAAACCAAAAGTCCATGCCATTCCTGACTGAAACCAACCTGCGTAAAAATTAAGCTTCACTATTTTCTAACGCATTATGGTCTCCTCCATGAAATAGCAGCTTAACTTGACCAGAGAGAAAAATGGACCAATTAAAGACAAGGAGGCTTAGCTAGATATGATTTGCAGAGTCGTCGATCAACTGAGATTCATCAAACCCTAGGCTATCTTCACTGTCCATCTGTCGATTCGTTTCATGCATGGAAGACAGAAGAAAAAACGTAAGAGGTATCTAAGTTGCACTTGGTCTTCTCTTTCATTTCCCTTATCTCTTACTTCACTCTTTCTTTCTTGTGTGCCGTTGTGGCTGAAGAAGGTGACGAACCATTGTTGCCAGGTGGAGTGCTTGCATGCTGGTTCCTTTGCGACTTTCCTGGCCTTTTGTTGCCCTCTGATTTTGGCCCGGCTTGCCTCTCTGATTTTGGCCCCGCATGCCGTACTTTCACTCCTCGTATCATCTATGCATATATATACATATACTTTAACAAAAACATAATTAACACAATTTTTTATTTATTTAGAGTGGATCGCATTACTAGCCAACTTGGATTATACTAATTAACAACAATATATGAAAAAATTACTAATTCTCTAATAACATTAATATTCATGTGATAAAAAAAAAAAACTAATTAAAAAAGAGGATGTGATGTCCTTGATGCTTACATATTTGTTACATTTCACGTCGGAGTAGATGACTATGAAGTCTCCTTCTTGGAGTCCATTTGCTCTCACAAAATCTCCTTCAATAACATAAATCAGTTGAAATTTAGAAAGACAATTAAAACAATGCTTGATGCTTAATAAATATCATTCATCAATGCGCACCTGTGTTTTCAAGGAGATACATCCTGCTTTTGTTGTTGGGCCAGTACCTGAAACTCCACATACAAAGAAGAAAGGGGGACAACAAAATTACTTATAATTTCTGAATGTACTAAAAGCAATGAAATTAACATTAATGAACCTAATATTCGTGACTGCAAAATGGACATTAAGAGACTCAATATTTGTAGAATACCTGTAGCGCATGTTCCACACACGAGAAGTCCCAATGTCCTCCATTGCAATGGAAATCCCATCTCTTGCATCCAATTCAGGAAGATGGGTTTCTGCTTCTTTCTGATATTAACACCAAAAACAACAATTTCCACTCAATACAACTTGTTTCCAATACAAGGAATACAATTAATCTTTCGAACCAATTAAGGAAATTAATAACTAACTTTTGGCAATACAATTCTTCCAAGACTACCCACGTCACTCTGCTTCAACACCTTCTGAAGAAGAAACTTCAGATTCTTCTCAGATTTCCATCCCTAAAAAAAAAACACAATTCCATGTAATCAATTGTTGTTCATATAATTCCAATCAATTAATCATTTTTTTTAGAGTATCCAATCAATTAATATCAAACGAAATAAAAATGCTAAGCAAAAACTGCACCAAATTACAAACCCACCTGACGCCTCTCCTGTCTTTCTTGTCTTTCTTGCACAGCACTACGACCGTGATTGTAATTCTGTGCTTGAGTACTAGCTGGCCGATCCATCTGCTGCACTGGAGGAAGTGGTGCGGCTTCCTGCATAATGCTAGGCATCATGGCAATGGCAGAAGGGGACGGGGCTGCTGTGGCGGTGGGCCAGTAAAACCAGTTGCCCGGATTGGCCTGCAGCGGCACAGCACCAGTGCAATTAAGATCAGTAGTGTTCCCAACAAGCCTTGTCTGCTGAAGATGGTGATGATCTGGCATTTGATTATTAAGTTGCTGAGAATTCTGTTGATGGCCGTGGTGCCTATGGTGAGACACAAGCCTTTTCTGCCTCGCCATCCGTTTCTTCCTCGCCTCTTTGGTAGCCGAAGACCCTAACCTCATCAACTGATGCTCACCATTCCCGGGAAAATATTGATAAGGCTGGTATTGACTGCCATACCCAGCAAAAGCCTGGGGATGGTGTTGGGGAGGGGCTAGGTGAATGTTATTATCCGGGAATGACCCGTAAGGGGCTGTTCCCATACCGAACGGAGAAGACGGCCATGATGGCTGACCGGATTCAATCATGTGATGATGATACTCCGGAGATGTTTGGTATGGGCTTGGCCCATTCCCAAAAGGGTCAGCTGCCATGTACCCTATCATGGAAGTATAAGTCGCAGGCGGAGGAGGAGCCGGAGGAGGAGTGGGGATAAGTAGTCCCCCCGCTGCCGGATCATAGGCGGCTGCATGTGGTGGAGGCGCCATCCATTGTGTTTGAGTGAAATTACGAGAAGGGTTTGATTCAAATACTCTAGAACTAGGGTTAGGGTTAGGGTTTAGAAAAGGATCTTGGTACTGTTGTTGGGTGATTATGTTGGAGTCTTTGGTGGTGATGCTATTGCTGCGCCTCTTTTGGAGATGGTTGGTCTGAACCCACTCAAGCACAAGTTTAAGCAACTGCTTCATGGCCTCTTTTCCTCCGCCCAAGCGCCTGGCGGCGCACTCGATCGTCGACTTCTTGATCTTCACACTTCTCAAGTCTTCGGCGGAGACCGTCTCTCTGTTGGACCTCAGCCACTCCAAGAACACCATGGCCATGTCGTCCGGATCCTTGTTTTCATTACTCAGATCCTTATTAGTATTCTCCTCATCATGTCCAACTACTTGTTTTTGTTGTTGGGGATTGGACTGAATAGTAGTAGCGCTTTCATGATGGTCTTGTAATAGTTGAGCCATGGCTAATTGCTGATTATCTTGATCTTGTTGAAACTGCTCCATGAAAAGGCTGTCACTTTGGAAAATGGAAGAAGGGTAAAAAAACTCGTTGGGTTCAAAGAGATCCATGTACCCAAAAGTTTCCGTCTCTTCCATGCAATCTATTCCGCCACCACCACCGCCGAGATCCAACGGCTGAGAGATCTCCATCGAGGCGGTGGAGGACAAAGCATGCGCATCAACTGTCTGATCATCAATCTGCGAGTGCTGGTGGTGGTAACTGTTCTGGTTGGGCTGCCGCTTTCTCTCTCCATCTTCGGGCTCCGCATCCGACTTGAGAACGGCCCAAGAGGCCGCGGAGGAGGACGAGGAGACCGATGAAGAGGAGGAGGAGGAGCACGTGACTGGCTTGACCGGTGCAGGAGTGGAGGATGAGGAGGAAGAGGAGGACATGCATGGGAAGTCCGGGAGAGGAGGGAAGTGGTCGTTGTAGAAGATGGAAGGGTCATTGATATCGGCAAGAAGAGCAGTCTCCTGGCCATCGTCAAGCCACATCTCTCCGTGGTCCACTCCGAGAGTATCCTCCTGATCTTCTGCAGGCAAATCTTGATGGTGATGAAGAACCGGAACCTGAACCTGAACTTTCTCCCCCTTCATTTCTTTTGAAACTGTTGATCTTCGATGAACAAAAACAAAACCCTTTCGGGATTTTTTGTGTATTTTTTTCCTTTCTGTTGGTATCAGATATTTTTGAGAAAGAGAGAGTGGATAATACGGGGATTAATTCTTCATCTTCTTCTGTGTACGGATAAGTGCAAGTGGGGAGGAAATAAGACTGTATTGGATTAAGGAAGCAAGATTGAAAGGGTCCGCTTTTGGTATCAAACCCTTACACAGAGGCAACATAAAACATCTGGTCTATCAACAACAGCAAAGATATATATCTAAACCACACAAAATATAATAATAACTTATTTAGTCACAGAAAGCGACGTCACCACTCTCTAATCCGTGAATCTATTCATATTTAATCACGTTATTATCACAAAACATCGGCCTCAACAAACATTGATTCTGCGCAGACCAACAGAAAAAACAACTCCAACAAACCCTAGTTCTTCACAGGCAGGACTGGAACCTGGCGGAGCCGCGGTGGAGAGAGAGTAGAATAGTGGAGGATATAGAAGTGATGCTGTTCAGGAGTGTAGAGAAAGCGCATGGTTAAATGGAGAGGGGAGGGGTGAGAAAAAGCTCTCAACAACCCCCATGTGTGGTCTGGTTGGTTCTGGGAAGTTTCAATGTATTTGCACCACCAAGATTTCTGATAAATTTTTTTTTTTTTTTTTTGGTTTTTTTTTTTTTTTTATGGAGATAAAGTTCAATTGGTTTTTTTTTTCCTGGGGTTTTTTATCTGAATTTCATCCCTCTGTCCATTCACATACATGGCCTATTAAGTAAGAGAGAGAAGAAAAGAAGAGGCAGTTTTAGAGAGAGAAAGGAGAGTAATAAGAGAGGACGGATTAAAGAAACAACAAAACAAAACCTCGTGCCCCTACTTTCTCAGCCCTAACTCCGTATTTTGTGCCACCAACCATACGTTCCCACCTGAATGGTGCCACCGTGCGGTGCCTCAGCCTTTATTATTATTAACCTCCCATCATAATTAACCTCATCTTACATATTTACATTAACATTGGCTGGCAATTAGGTTTTTTACCATTCTTTTTTAGTTCAAAAGGGTTCGTTTGCATATTTTTGCCATGGTTACACCAATAAACGAACAAAAATAAAGCATATAAACAAACCCTAGTTACTATAAAAGGTAAAAATGCAATCGTATAATGCATGGAATGAGTCCAGTCTGTGAAAATGCCTTGATTACACAACAAAAACAAACATGTAAACCAACCCCTAATTACTAAGGAATGTTAAATGGAACGGTTAACATCTTTGATATTTTTCTCTCCGTTTTCTCTAGAATTTGTAGAGAGAGACGGTGTGTAAGTGGACCGACTAATTTCTAATTTCTATTGGTTAGATTGTAATTCCCGGAGTCCAATATTTAATTCCAACAAAATAAAAGTCCAAAATTTAGTCCAAAAACAAAAGAAAATAAAATAAAAAGGTTCGATAATTTACCTAACAAGCTTTGTCTGGACTCGTGGGTGAAGCGGCGGGCATCACCATTTGATGCTACGCGTCCATGCAGTTCTGACGTAACCCCCTTTCCTTTTCCCTCTCTCTCTCTCTCTCTCTTCTGCATCTGCCAATAACCGCGCTCGTCCGTTTCAACTCACTCTGTCTCTTCCCGATATCTGACGCCACTCTCCAAGCACCAGTTAGATTCACATCTACACAGCTCCACTACTCCTGACCGGCGAATCATGTTCTGCCACGTACCGTAAATCAGATACGACGCTCGCGCGGCACCCATTCGGTTTTGTAGCTGGCTGCTTGTTATTGGCCGCTGGGATGGGTGAAGTGATGCCATTCGTCACCGCTTCTATTGGGCCTTCTTGTTTCCGTACATCACAGTCACTTCGGGTTTGTTCTCCTACGACTTTTGGTTTGTGGGGTCCCACGTGGATCTGGGTGATGTTAGCCAACAACGAACAGCCACCTCGGAGGTTTGTTTTTTTTTTTTTTTTTTTTTTTTTTTTTTTTTTTCAGGTATGTTTATAGTAAAGGGGAAGAGATCCCCGATCTCTCCCACCAGATCATAGGGATTTAGAAATCTGGACATTTCAAATTTGATTTAATTGTTATAATTATTATAACTTTTAGAAAGATCTTTTATTTGTAGCAGTTAGATCAAATTTCAAGAATCCGGATTCCTAGGATTTAGTGAGAGAGATCCGGAGGGGATCTCTTCCATTGGAAAGGGATCATCTCCGGATCCTTTCCTCCTAATCCACCAAGTCCAGGGATCCAGGCCTTTGAAATTTGATCAAACGGCTAAAGTTATTATAAATTTTAATGTGAGCCCCTATTTGTGGTCGTTGGATTAAATTTCAACGGTCAGGATCCCTAAAGAAGGGATCCGAGGATCCCTTTCCATGTTTATCCTACAAATTAATAAAATTTGAAATTTGTTACTCTGTCCATTTTTCCTATTTTCCCTAATTATACAAGTAGAAAAGAATTAGCGTGGATGAAGCTCGTCCCATTAACTTAATTTTGTTTTTTGGTTAATTACTTCTGGGTTTTGGGTTTGGCTTTAATAAACTCTTTTTTTTAATGATCATAAACCAAAGAACATTGTTGTCTATCGTATCGTCTTCGTCACTAGTACATGAGTTTGAGAGAAAGTAATGGAATGTGAGTGATTGATCCACCGTTTATATTTGCACAACACATATTATGTGTGTATATACGTTGGATAAATGAGGGACTACAAATATTGTTTGGATTACGTTAATGAGTCCAAATTGCACCGCCAAGATGAAAAATGGTGATTATGTCGTAACTTCACCGATTATGAACAAAGGTTGCGGTGTCAATCTTTCACTTTAGACTTAATGAGGATACCATAATATAATGACACTTTGATTTTGTAGAAATTTAAATTGGGCTTCATCTTTTACTTGTATAGTGATTGTGGAGCCAAAAATAATCACAAGGTGACACGTGGATTTTTGGGTAAAAGATGATAAAAATACCCTTGAGGCATACCGGGATTCCTACGCGCGAGCAGCGGACAATCATCTGTCAATCAAGTCAAAAGTGTCCAAAATAGGTAACAAATTTAAAGATGTTCTCATCCATCCTCATCTTGAGTAATTATTTTATAACCTACATAACATTCCATTTAAGTGGAGGTTAATTGGCTAATTAATGGATTAATTCATAATTAATCTATTAATCACCAATTAAATCATCCATTACAACCCAAAAAATACCCAAGGGCCGGCCACTCTTTCTTCCAAAGAGGGCCGGTCATGCTCTATAAATAGGACTCCATTTTCTCTAAAAAGCTAGTTCCACACTCTTGAAAAACTCCAAAAAACTCTCCAAATATTTTTCTCTCTAAATTCTAACTTTGGCATCGGAGGTTCTTCGGCCAAAGCCCCCCATTCATCGTGGATGCGTGAGGCTGTTGGCCTTAACCCAAGGTGTTAATTGTTTTGTAGGTGCAATTTTGTCCAAGAAGAAGAAGGCGGAAATTTGCATCCACAATGATCACAAATATTCTTGACATGTGTAATTTTTTTTTTTCGTGTTCCACTCATGGTGGGCAATGTAAATCGCGTTGTCTAGATGAAAAATGATAGTCATGCTATAACTTAATCATGCGTTGATTATACTCAAAGCTTGTGGCCTCATATTTCACTTTTTATTTAATAACAATGTCATAACTTAAAAACTTGTTGAATTTAAACTGACTTTCATATTTTATTTTTGTAGTGATAACAAGTGACTAACATGTTTAAAAAACTTTACCGTGTCGGCATGGCGGACATTTTAAATCTCACTACCAAAATGTCAAATGGTAGTCATGCTGTAACTTGAGTAGGCATTTATAATAATTAAAGATTGGGGGCGTCAATTTCACTTTTCACTTAAGAGCACTTCCACCTGTTAACAAATGTGTTCAGGCCAGCACCCCCAAAAACCTATTCCACCCACCCAATAGGCTGGCCCAAAGTGGAAGGCAGTTTTGAGCCCAGCACATAATTGACTGAGCAAGAAATCGGGCTGTATGACGTATGGTTGACGTCAGCCACGTGAAACCCTTTTTTTGAGCTAGGTGCGTGGAAAACACGCGCACGTGGGCATGAGTTGCCGACAGCATCGCAGAGGTGGGGCCCACCGTGCAGGCGCATTATGGGATTCTAGCATGGGGATATGTGGCGCCTCCATGTCCGTTGGATTTCCAATGGTAAAAAAATTTGAAATTCAAAATTAATGGCTACTAACATGGCACAATCTGTACTGTTCGATTTTTAGATCAACGGTCCAGATTTTTTTGCCATAAAAATTTATTATTATTATTTTATATATAATATTTTAATAAAATTGACTAGGCTATTTAGTTTTAGGAGTGGAGATGCATTTGGCCAATTACTGTTCATTGGAGTCAATTACTATTCATTTGGGTGGATTAAATGGATTTTGGACTAGCTCATTTTTTAGGGGTGGAGTTGCTCTAATGAGGATATCATAACCTATTGGTGTATAGATTTTGTTCAAATTTAAACTGGATTTCTTCTTCTACTTATGTAGTGATAACAAATGGCTAATAGGCCTAAAAGACCTTACCGTGTTCTCGGCATGGCGGACATTCTAAATCTCGCTGCCTAAATGACAAATAGTAGTCATGCCGTAACTTGACTACGCATTGATTATAATTAAAGATTGGTTTTTTAGCCAAAATGGTTATTGAGATTTGCATAACTTCTTACTTTGGTATTTGAGATTTGAAATATATATAATTGGTCCCTAAGTTTATCCACAATCAATCATTTTGGTCATTCCACAAAAATCTCTATAAAATAAGAATAAAATGATAAAAATACCCTCAATTTTTGTCAAATCATTTTGGCTATTGTTTATTATATTGAGGGTAATTTTATCATTTTAATCCTCATTTAACATAATTTTTCACCGAATGACCAAAATAATTGATGGTAGACAATCTTAAGGACCACTTCTATTGATTTCAAATCTCATGGACCAAAGTGAGGAGTTAAGCAAATCTCAGAGACTATTTTGACTAAAAAGCCTTAAAGATTAGGGCTTTGTCTTTCACTTTTCACTTAATGAGAATACAATAACCTAATGGCAGATACATTTCATTCAAATTTAAACTAGATTTCATTTTCTAATTTTGTTGTGGTAACAAATGGCTAACATGCCTAAATGACCTTACCGTGTTCTCGGCATGGTGGACATTTTAAATCTCACTACCTAAATGACAAATGGTAGTCATGCCGTAAATTGAGTAGGCATTGATTATAATTAAAGATTCGTGCGTCGGTCTTTCACTTTCCACTTAATGAGGATACCATAATCCACTGGAGTAAAGATTTTCTTCAAATTTAAACTGAATTTCTTCTTCTAATTCTATAGTGATAACAAATGGTTAACATGCCTAAAAGACTTTTCCGTGTTCTCGGCATGGTGAACATTAAATTGCACTGCCCAGATGACCCAGCGGTAGTCATGTTTAACGATGCATGGATTATAATTAAAGCTTGGCATCAATCTTTCTTTTCACTTAATGAGGATACCATAAAAGCAGTAACACATTGGCCTTGTTTTTGAGAAAAAAGTATGATATTCATTAACGATAGAAATATGTACAATCAATGAGGATAGGGTGCATACA